TCTTAAATACTTAACTAATTTTCTCATGCTAATTAATTTACCAAACCAACTATTATATATATAAAATTTATAATTAAATGATAGTATAAAATAATATTTTACTATCAATATATTTTAATATTACCTACGAATGTATCCGTGCGTAATTACCCATGAATAATTACCGTTAGATAAATCAATGTATAATTACCGACGGATAAATCCGTGGATAATTATTTTTTATTAATAATTTATGTTAAAAATAATAAAATTAACTTATAAGTAATTATGATAAATAAAAATTAAATTAGATAGTTACCCACAGATTTATCCTTTGGTAATTACCGACGGATAAATCTGTGGGTAATTATTGACGGATAAATTCGTGGATAATTATTTTTTATTAGTAATTTATGTTAAGATTAATAAAATTAATTTATATGTAATAATGATAAACAAAAACTAAATTAGATAAAAAAAATTTAAATATATAAATTTCTTCTAGTTAAAGAAAAGTCTCTAAAAACATTATGGACAAGAAAGATATTTATGCTTTATATATAGAAGTTAATTATTCTTTGATTAGTTATTAATTTTAATTTAATATATAGTTATATAAATTTTAAATATGATTTATTGATTTAACCATAATATTTATTTTTGTATATAATTTATTATAAATTTTAATTATATATAATAAAAATGTAACTTGTGAAATACACAAAATAAAATATTAGTATTTTTTTAATTTACATAAAAATTATAGTATTATATTATATTATAATTTGTATGAGAGGGATCCAAAGATTGTACAAGTATGAGACTGTATAGATGATGATGACTTAAAGAAATTAATTTGTACTATTTATATCAATGAGATGTATCTACTATTTGGTAGCTTATAAGAACTTCACAGTTAAGCGTACTTGACATGGAGTAATTTAGGGATGGGTGACCTTCTGAGAAGTTTTCCAAAAAATGTGTGGGTGACGACAAGGCACGCTAAGATGTCTTGTGTTGATTTGTGGGATTTGTGGGGTCAATCTTTGATTGGTGAAGGTTTCTGACAAACGAAAAGTTGCATGAAGTGTCGCGAAGTGGAGCTATTAAAAGGTCAGATATGAGGGATGTTGCACTAAATAAGGGTGTTATTTAATATAATTTTGAAATAATTTTTTAAAAATATTATCAACAATACCCACCAATTTTATCTGTAAATAATTCTGTCAGAAAGTTACCCACGAATTATAATCCGTCGGTAAATATTTCAGACGAGTAATTTACCGACAGATTATTGTCCGTTTGTAATCCGTCAAAAATGAAGTGTTACCCATGAATTTTTTGGATTATCCACGGATTTTGGTTGTCTGTAATTTCAAAATTTCTTGTAGTATATTTATAAGTTTTTTCTTTTAATTACTATTGTTCATAAAGTATATTCTAAATTTCTATTTTTAAAAATATGTAATGTTACTACCTAATATCAAAACTCACAAAATTAATATTTAATTATAAAAATCATAAAATAAATATCAGGTTTCTAAATATCAAAATTATAAAAATCGTGTAATAAATAATATTAATTAATGTGAACAATTTAATTTTTTATTAAATACAATTAGACTCATTAAATGAGTTACACGTCATCAATGACTATTTGAAACACTAGTACAAAAGAGGTAATTTACGTCTGTTATTTTAAGTTTTTTACGTCAGAAAAAAGTCTGACGTCAATGCGGGAGACGTAAATTTATGTTACTTGTGAAAATCGACGTAAATTTACGTTGGACATTACCAAGATTCGACGTAAAAAAGTTGTAAAATGCCTCCCATGCACTCTTTTTATTCACTTTTGCTACTTTTTTTTACGTCGGACCCGGTAGGATCCGACGTAAAAAAGTTTACAAAAATTACAAAAATGTCACCGCATTTTTTTTATGTCGGTTTTTGTTATGTCTGATGAGAAAGAGATAACGTAAAAGACTCATTTTTCACTAGTGAAAGTTAATGTTTCCATCGATGACTAAATATTAAGTATCTATATTCATTCATGTTCACATAAAAATCTCCCTGTTTACAGATATCCAACTTATCAATAAATTATTCTTTTGACTATATATTAAGTATGTATATTCATTCATGTTCACATAAAAATCTCCCAGTTTAGAGATATCCAACTTATCAAAAATTATTTTTTTGAGTGTTAGGAGGATGAGTTCTCATGTTGTTCAAGTTGTTTCAGAATGTTTTGTCAAGCCACCAAGCCCAGCTAAAGAATCAAGGCAGATATATAATTTAGCAGCTTGGGATATTGTTTTGCTTGCCATGCAATACATTCAGACTGGCATACTATTACAGCAAACTAGCCTTGTTAATCAAAATGCCATCGAAAATTTCTTGAACCTTTTCAAGCAGTCCATTTCCCTTACCCTCGCTCATTTCTATCCGTTGGTTGGCCGCTTTGTCACCCAAAAGACCAAAGACCCTCCTTCTACTACCATTTTCATTGATTGTAGCAATAGTCCTGGAGTTAGGTTGATCCACGCAACATTGGATATGAGTGTATCAGACATTCTTACCTCTGCTGACAATTCCACCATTGTTCAATCATTATTTGATCACCACAAAGTATCCAACCATGATGGTCACACCATGCCACTATTTTCTGCTAAAGTCACCAAACTAGTGGATGGTCTTTTCGTAGGTTGTTCAATGAATCATGCCGTAGGTGATGGGGTTGCTTTTTTTAATTTCATTAGTGCATGGTTTGAAGTCGCTCGTGCTCAAGTTCGAGCCGGAGGGCCTTTAGATAATGTTCCCATTTCACGCCCTCCAATTCATGATCGGTGGTTTCCAGATGGTTGCGGCCCATTTATCAATTTACCTTTTAAAGACACGGATGAGTTTAAGAGAAAATTTGAAGAAACCGAGTTTAGAGAGAGAATCTTCCACTTTTCAGGAGAGTTTATTGCAAAACTAAAAGCAAGGGCCAATTGGGAGGCCAAAACCACTGAAATTAGTTCATTACAATCCTTATCAGCACATGCTTGGAGATGCATAACACGTGCGCGCCACCTACCACGTGATCAAAGAACAAGTTGCAAATTGGCCATAGATAATCGATCTAGATTGGAACCACCTTTGCCAAATGAGTACTTTGGAAACGCACTTAGTATGGTGAGTGCAGATAGCACGGCAGGGGAATTGCTTGAACACGATCTAGGATGGGCAGCAAGGAAGTTGAACCTCGCTGTTGCAAACCATAATGACAAAGTGGTGCGACAAGAGGTTCTTCATTGGCTACAACAACCGAAGATATTCCATTTTGGTTCTTACTCAGATTCCTTTGACGTGACCGTGTCAAGTTCGCCCAGGTTCAATCCGTTTGGGAATGATCTATGGCTCTGGAAAGGGGTAAAAATTCTAACTGGGTATAACAATAACCATGATGGCAGACTGACATCATCTGCAGGAGCTGAGGGAGGGGGAAGCATAGATTTGGAAGTGGTCATTTCGCCAAATGCAATGAGCGCACTAGAATTAGATGAAGACTTTCTCGATAGTTTTTCTCACGTTGCTCCCATGCACTAGACATATTATTAATGTGACTATATATGGGTATATCGTATATGCTTCACTATGCTCATCACTAAATAAAGTACTTCCTTCTTTTCATCATTCAAATAAGATAACATGTATCTCGTCACTTCATTATATATAGTACCGCCTAATATATTTTTAGGATGTATCTCATTTCATTATGTATGGTACCGCCCAATGTATTTTTAGGCATAAAGTAGATTTTAAATTGAGGTCTTTTTAAAATTAATAATAATATATTTTGGTAAAAAAATAAAATTACTTTTTATTGGAAGTTTATTTTATGAGCTTCTAGAGATGTAAAATTGTTTATATTATAATTAATTTTTTATTATTTCTTTTTTCATAGATATTAAAACTAATCTATTTAATTTTTGTTGAGATATTGTTGATCATAAATAAAATTTAATTAATTTTAATTTTAAAAAATTTCTTTCGACCGATGCAACACTTATAAGAATGTTAGCTTTAATAGGATCTTTTTCTATTAATAAGTCTCTTAAACTTGTACTAACATTTGTCCACTGACTTGGATTGCATATATTTTTAGTTGTTACTTCTAATTTCTCAATTTCTTTTGCGTCTTCATTATTGGTATGACCATCAACAAAATCTTGTTTATTAACTAATATTTCTTCTTTATTATTTTCATTGTGAGTATATGAGAATTAATATAATCTTGTTCATTTACTAATACGTCTTCTCTATATTATTTTCATTGTGAGTATATGAGAATTAATATAATCTTGTTCATTTACTAATACGTCTTCTCTATTTTTGTAACACCCCAGTTTTTATTTCACTTTTTATTTATTTATTTTAATTGAGGGTATTTTGGTAATTTTATAAAGGAGATAGGGGATGTCTATAAATAGCAGACTCAAGCTGATGGAGGACCATTCTTGAAGCATCGTATAGGGTCTATCACAAGGTCCATGGCTAGGATAGTAGAGGAAGATGAAGAACACACCACACCAAAAGCCATGATCATCATGTGTGTGGAATTTGAGCCCTCTCCTTAATTTGTTGCTTTCTTTTCCCATTTTGCCCTTGTATTTTGGGGTACATTAGACATTAGGATTTTATTTTGTATTTCTTATTTAGCCCTTGTATTATGGGGAAAAATTAGTTTAGGATTTATTTTAGGACTTAAACCTTAGTTTATGAGGTCAAAGTCCATTTTCTTATTTTCTAGACCTAAGGGCACTTTAGTCTTTTAGGAGGGATGAGGGCCATTTCATTTGGGCTTCATTTAGGGTTCATCTAAGGTGCATTTGCCCTTAGAATTTTTGGCTAAATGCCCCAAGGAACCCTAGATGACACTCTCCCTCCCTATAAGTACCCTAGGTCATCCAACTTGTAGCTACAAATTAATGAATTTGAATGAGCCGTTGTGCCTCTTCATTCCTTTCTTAGTCCCTTAGGAACTCCATGGCCCCCTATCCTCTCCTCTCTCCCTTGAGTTAGCTTGGGTCTACCTTGGTTGGCCTTCATTCCCCTAAGTGAAGTGAGCTAGCCTAAAGGAGCTTCACCACCAAACATACCTCCTTTCTTCTCCTCCATTTGAGTGTCATCCTACACCTCCCTAAACACCATCTCCATCACTTCCATACCCTTGAATAGATCATCCTTCACGTCAAATAATCCTTGGAGAAGAGAAGGAATCAACCACTATCCCTCTTGGAGAAGTTGGTTCCATCATGTGCTATCAGAGCCATGGTTGTCTTCAAGGGTAACTTGTCTCTTCTCTTTTATGTCTTCTAAATGTTTCTTGTCATGTATATCTCTTCTCATATGTATTGATGTTATCCTCTCAAATATTGCTTAAAATGTTGTCTTCTTGTTGAGTGGTTTATTGTTAGTTCACGAGCCTTCCTTTGTTGTGCTCTAGGATTCGTTTTAAAATAGGTTCTTGTGTGCTTTTTTCCATTTTCACCTTTGCTGGAAAATTATGTCAAGAACATGTTGAACACTTTATGAACCCCATTTTAATCTTTATTTGTTCAAGTTTTGTCTCTTGTTTGTGTTTCTCTCACTTTTTCCACCCAAATACCAAGTATATGCATAAAACCTTCACTTGATGTATGTAACATGGAAATGAATGATGCTTGTTTTTCACACCTATGACCAGGGGTGAGCACGGCCCGAGATTGTTACGTGAGTATCGTGACCTTGGTTAACATGTCAGGGGTGAGCACGACCCTAGGTTAGGGGTAACGTGACCTTGGCACAGTGTTATATCAGGGGTGAGCACGGCTCTGGATTGTTACGTGGGTATCGTGACCTTGGTTAACATGTCAGGGGTGAGCATGGTCCTGGGATAGGGACAACGTGACATTGGCACAATGTTATATCAGGGGTGAGCACGGCCTGAGA